CTTGCACTTGCCAGGCAGGCGCTTTTGCCGCTGAGCTAAATCCCCAGCCCCTGTACCATTTTTCTTTAAAGGATCTGAGCATCTAGGGCCCTGCAACCAGTTCCCATGGATGATACCAAGGCACAGCTATAAGGTATTTGAGAATTAAAACATATACAGATACTAAAGTGCTAAACATTTTTAGACACAACACATATCATGAAACTCTCCAATTACAACAATCACAAGCACATTCTGAAGATGTAAAGTCATAAATGTATGTTGATAAGTGTAACGCAGACTACAGTGAGAAAGAAGCTGAAACCCTCAAACACCAGCGAGAACACTGGGACAACTGACAAGAACACGCTTACCTTTCTACACATTGTGAAAAGGACTTCCAAATGCTTTGGATTTGAGAGTAAGGTATTTGTGTCTATTGTCACGTAATTATGCAGGAGAGGCATCATGTCTGGGGAGAAAATTCAAAATGCCAATGAGACTTACACAACAAGAGTAGAACCAAACTCTCCCCCGACCGAGACCCACATTTCTGCGGCCCCACACGTGTCCATTCCCTGGCAAACAGGGTGCTCGGTGTGAGCCCCTTACAAAGAGTGGGGGGCGGGACGATCACAGTGTCCACAGTGCACTGTAGGGACTGCTTCACACCTTTTTCTTCTTCTGCAGTGCACTTATCACCATCTGACACGCTGTAAATTTTCTTACTGCTCACCTGAGTGCTTCCTCCACCTCTTCCCACTGGAATATAAGCTTCAATAGGGCTACTGAAGCTCACTGTTGTACTGCTGAGCTTAGCATAGTGCTGAGAATATAGCTAGTGTTCAGGGCCAGGAAGATGGCTCAGCGGCACAGCGCCTGCCTGGCAAGCACAAGGTCCTGTGTTCGATTACCAGTACCAAAAAAAAAAAGACTATAGCTAGTATTCAGAAAATATTCCCCAGACATGGTGGCACATGCCTGCAATCCCAGCACTTGGGAGGCTGAAGCAGGACGATTGCCATGAGTTCAAGGCCAGTCTGGGCTACATAAGCAGGTTCAAGGCCACCCTGCACAAAATAGTGAGACATTGTCTCAAAAAAAAAAAAAATTATTGAATTAAATATGGATATACATTCTGGGGCAAACTAAAGACATAATAAACTGGGCATGGTGGCACAGGCCTCTAATCCCAGCCCTGAGGGAGGCTGAGACAGGAGGATTCCCAGTTCAAGCCCAACTTGGTGACTCAGCAAGACGCTGCCTCAAAATTTTACAAAGGGCTAGATGTGGCTTAGCACAAAGACCCTAGCTAGGTTTGATCCTCAATACTGAAAAAAAAAAAAAATAGAGCTTACCTCCACCAGCCATATACTCAAAGCTAAAAGACACTGCTATCATAGCTCCACCTTCAACAGGAACATGGGAACAACTGCTGACTAGTACTGGACTCTGCGTGTTTTTACTTCAAGTGGCAAATATGTAGATACAGAAAAGCAAATACGTTACAGGACCAAAACCATACCTGTGAAGTATTCAAAGCAATCTTGCTGGAACACTTCATATAAAATACCTAGGAGCTGCCACATTTGAGGGGAAATAGAGTGGCAGGTTAAACTGTACGCCAGCGAGAGAATTTCTTCATAGAATTCTAAAGGGAAGAAAACGTCCAGTCAGAATACAGGGAAACAGCAAAACTTGTACACAGTGCTCACACAGGGTCCATTCCACACATGTGGTGCCCTGCGTCTCGGGGCTGCACATGCCCATCCTCGGGGCTGCAGCCGCAGCTAAAGTCACCACCTGCTGTGCTCGCCAACACCTGCTGCCTGCTCAACAAGGCAATCAGCTGTTACAATTTCTTATAACCAAAATAATTTTTTCTATTTTATAACATGAAATATGGTGTTTTATATATATATATATTGCTGTTGTTGTTGTTGTTGTTTTTGGCTTTTTGAGACAGGGTCTCACTATGCAGTTCAGGCTGGCCTTGAGCTCACTTTGTAGCCCAGGCTGGTCTCAAACTCCCAACGATCCTCCTGCCTCAGCCTCCCACGTGCTGGGATTACAGGCATGCGCCACCACGCCCGGCTCTTTTGTCTTTTTTTTGATGGTTTATATTTATAAAGTTATATTAGAAAAGTCTATGACAAGGAATTGATGATCACACCTTACTCATGTAGAGGATTTTAAATTTACAAATGATTAGCAATGTTCTTTGGGGAGCTTAATTACACAGGGTTAAAATACCTACCCAGCTCATGTTATATTTTTACAAATAACTATATACTGTACAGTTTTTCAATTTATGAAACTTAAACATTTATGCCAGAATTCTCCAATTGACCCCAAAAGGGTTACACTCGCTGTAAAGCAGCACCCAAAGGAAATGTTCTCACATTCACACAGGGATTATGCTCATCAGCAGTCAGAAGTAAACTTATCAATGTATACAATCAGAAAACACAAACCTCAATACAAAAATTTCAAATAACTCCTACCATATTCCTGAGCAAAGTCTAACCTGAAAGGTTTTATTCTCTCATAAAAGGAACTAATACTTACCCTAAAAACATCAATATTTTTTGTATAACATTTAAAACAATGCACACAGAAGTTAGTAACACACATTACTTGCCTAATTGAAAGCAAAGTAAGACAAAAATTACAGGCTAGGAAACAATCATTTGTAGAACAACAAATTACCTGCATATAGGATCCCTGAAAGTTCTAGCATAGCATTAAAACAGATAAACAGGTCAACAGAATCGTACAGAGCACCAGAAACAAACCCACACATTCACAGTCAACCCATTGTCTGGGGAGACAGGACAACACAGGGAAGGGACATCTCTTCAACAGATGATGGTGGTAAAACGGACATCTATCTGTGTTCTGATGAGTGAGATTCATCTCACACCGTATAGAAAAATCAACTCAGACTGGCTTAAACAAATATTAGCACCTGAAACTGCAAGACTACTATAAGAAAATATAGGGGGGAAAACTCCAGGACACCGATCTGGGGAGTGTTTTTTGATACAACCCCAAAGAGATAGGAAACAAAACCAAAAAACAAACTAAGGGGATTATATCGACCTAAAAGGTTTCTGCACAGCAAAGGGAAGGAGACAGAAAAGACAACCTACAGGATGCAAGAAGATATTTACAATGGATATGATAAACAATTAATATTTAAAATACATCAAGAACTCTACAGCAAGAAAATAAACAATTTAAAAATGGGAACCAGGCACAGGGCATGCACCATAATCCCAGCTACTCAGCAGGCTGGGGCAGGATGACTGCTTGAGTCCGGGAGTTCAAGGCCAGGCTGCGCAACACTGAAAGACCCCCAGATATACACACAGATGGCTAGCAGGTGAATGCAAAACTGGTCAACATAAGCCAGGTTCAGTGGCACAATCAGCTACTTGGGAGGCTGAGGCAGAACTGCAACATTTGAGGCCAGCAAGGCAATTTAAAAGTAAAAATGTCTCAAAAAATTTAATAGTGGTCAACACGACCCAAATTAAAATCACAAGGAGACAGCACTCATACTTGTCAGGATGGCTATGATCAAAGAGACACAGAATAACTGTTCGAGAGGCCACAGAAAGGGAACTTCATACTGGGAAGTATACTCGTGCAGCCACCGCAGAAAACAACGCAGAGACTCCTCAAAAGTTCAATTAGAGAACTACCACATGATTCAACAATCTCACTACTGAATATTTATCCATAAAACCAAGATCTTGAAGAGCTGTCTGTACCCCAATGTTTGCTGCAGTACTATTCACAACAGCCAAGATACAGAAAAACCTAAGTGACTGAATAAAATGTGGCACATATTCAGAATGGAAACTCTGCCCTTAAAAAGGACATTCCATCATTATTACAACAGGGACAGACCTTGAGGTCACTGTGCTATGTGATGTAAGCCAGGAAAGCACCCACAAAGGTTCTTTGGTTATCATTACTGAAAGCCCATAGCTTACACTAGGGTTCACTGTGCTCTGCCCTCTCCGCCTGACAGGTGCAGTGACACGCAGCCATCACGACTACACCACACAGAACACTCTCGATGCCCCCAAATGCACCCTCTTCATCACCCCCAACCCTTGGAAAGCACCGATCTCTACTGACAAACTCTTTAAAAATTATTATACTTTTTTTAATTGACAAATAAAAATTGTATATATTTATGGTGTTTAACATGTTTTGAAATACATCCATTTTGTAGAATGGCCAAATCTAGCTAATTACCATATCCCTTATTTCATACGCCCGCTTTTGTTGTGCGAATACATGAAACACTCTGAGCAACTTTCAAGTACACAACACTCTGCTCCTAAGTCCAGCCACGCACCCTGACCAACACTCCCCGGCCCAGCCCCCAGCCCCCAGCCACACCACCCCAGTCTCTCAAACTCAGTTCTTTTAGGTTCCACATCAGTGAGAGTCTGTGCTATTTGTCTTTCTGTGCTGGCTTATTTCACTCAGCATAATGTCCTGCTGTTTCATCGATGTTGTTACAAACAAGGATTTCTTTTTTTTTTTTTCCACTAAGTATTTTCATTGTGGTACATACATTTCACTCAAATAATATTCAAATAGTTAGACCTGCCTGCTCAATTTTTACTAATGAAGTGACAACAGAAGACTGAAGACAAGTCACCTGCTCTTCTTACATCGCCCCATATAACTCGAATCTCTCGTGCGCCCAGGTGACGGGGCCGCCAACTTCAAATTGCTTGGGTGCTCTGCATACTCTCCACAATCCCCAGCCTCGTCAGGTTTGCCGTTAGTTACTGACTCCACTCAGAAGTCAGCTACAACAGGACAACAATTCCCACTTCTGGCAAGAAAAACGCCTGTCTTTAACCACTGTGCAATTTCAGATGAAAGCACAGTGAGCTCATCTAAACCTCATCCCAGTTCTTATCTCTAAAAACACAACCTCATTCTCTGTCCTACCAGAGAATGTTATACCAAAGTAAGTTCCCACCAGAAGAGAAGATTTTGAGGTAAAGAATTAAAACACAAAATAGAAAATAATAGCTGGGCTTGGTGGTGCACGCCTGCAGTCCCAGCACTTGAGACACTGAGACAGGAGGATTGCCACGAGTTCAAGGCCAGCCTCAGCTACGTAGTGAGTTCAAGGCCAGCCAGAACCACATAGCGAGGCTCTGTCTCAAAAAACAACAAAAAGAAAGAAAAGGGAAAGAAGGGCAAGGGCAAGGGCAAGGGCGGGAAGGGCAGGGAAGGGCAGGGAAGGGCAGGGAAGGGCAGGGAAGGGCAGGGAAGGGCAGGGAAGGGCAGGGAAGGGCAGGGAAGGGCAGGGCAGGGCAGGGAAGGGAAGGGAAGGGAAGGGAAGGGAAGGGAAGGGAAGGGAAGGGAAGGATTATTTTATAATCCTGAAGAGGGAAAATGACTCCAAACCTAGAAATAAGAAATGAAAAAAACTAAATCTAATCACATTCTCCATCCTTTAAGTTTCCAAGGCCAATAATTCTTAATTGGATGTATTACAGGTTTACCTCTGAATGAAAAAGCAGTATCTAACATTAGAAAGTATATCCAAAAATCTAACTGAAAAAGAATCCAAATTGCTCTTTCTCAAATTGTCCGTCTTGTTAAATATTGAGTTAAAATGCACTCTGATTTCATCAATTTAAAAATAAAACTCAGTTTACTTTTTTTAGTAAATCTCTGAAACTTACCAATTACATGTTTCTGTAAAACAAGATCAATAATCCGTAGACAGATATTCTCTAACTGCTGCGTAATCTAAATATAAATGACAAACATTTAGTTAAAAATTCATCACAACCCTCAAATTAATGTGTAAATTAATATTATTCCAATAAAATACCTAGTGGACATTTTTGAGGGGGGACTTGATAAGTTAATTTTAACCTTCATGTAAAAAACTAAACATGCAAAAATACAAGGAAATTCCAAAATGTAGACCAATGATAGGAACCGTGGTTAAATCCATAGTGAATTATTCAAACTATTGTGAATTAAATTAGTTCCTTATGACATAGCTCATACCAAAATAAGTTCCTACTAGATGAAAGATTTTGATGTAGAGAATTAAAACAGAAAATAGAAAAAAATACAAATATAAACCTGAAGTGACTCCAAACCTAGAAATCAGAAATGAAAAAAACTAAACAATCTGATAGTAAAAATTAGAACTTTCTGCACAAGATATGAGGAAGGCAAAGATAAATAAAAAGTCGAGTGAAATAGTACCAAGTGGTATCACAAAGGTCAAATTTCCCCATACATGAAACCAACAAAGGCAAAGGTTACAAAAACTAAGCATGAACAAGCCTTAAGCTGACAAAAAGATGCTCACTAATACATAAGATTACAAATCCACAGTGCAGTGTTACACTTCTAACCTCTCAGACTGGCAGCGATCAAAAAGACAGCTGACACAGAGGTGCACCGAAGCGTGGGGAGCAAGCCGGTACACACCGCATGGCGCAAGTGAGCAACCCCTTCAAGCCTGCTCATACCTAGTGCCTGTGACCAGCAAGCCCAACGTCTGACATCTATGCAAGCGACATGTCCAAGGGTACCCCCACACCAGTGTCTGTCTACAGCCAACTGTCCGCTTAAAGGGGCACTTAAAACACATCTATTAATGAGGAACTGAGTACATGAATTTGACATATCATGCAAGGAGTACTATGCAGCCACTAAAATACATTGTTTATTAACTGATACAGTGCAATCACCAAGATAAGTAAAAAAAAAAAATTAAGGATCACCAAAATTAAGTTAAAAATAGTAGCCCAAAACTACATACATAATGTTATCATTTTCATGAAAAACTACAAACACTAACTTTTGGAAAAATAAAAAACTTGATAAAAAGTGCTATTTTCTGAGGCTGTAAAATTAAATAACTATGGAGTGATATGGTAAAATTTCACTGAATATCTTTTCATACTTATTCAACATGTTTCTATGAAATATTTCTCAAATAAGTAAAAAAAATTCCAATACACCATGGACTATTTTTCATATAAATATCCAATTTCAATTTTGAAGTATATTCTAATACTCTTTTTGTAGTTTCTAATAAACTTTTTGTAGTTTTAAATTTTTAACTGACACAATTGTATGTATTTGTAGGGTATGGTTTCATAATTCAATACATGTTAAACCACTATGTTAAAGTTCAAATAACGCAAAATTTTCCAACTTAAAAAACCTGCCAATACCTTCATAACCATTAGATTAAAATGTATATGGTTTTTAAAAATGTGCACGTTTATCACCTACTTTACATTTCCAACTTTGCTTTTCACACATTAAGTATTTACACATGTATTCATATACACGTAGTTTCTCCTCTTAAGGAAATATTATTTTTGAAGTTTGCTTGTAATGAATGAAAGTTCCAAATGAAATGAGGCCTTCAGGAGCCAAAGATTTGTCTTTAATTTTCCACTGGGAAAATTACTTAGCTGATGGCTTTAAGTGTTTTCATCTTTGGGTAAGAAACCCACATTTGATTAGGGTGTCTCAATTTTAACCCATTCCTCCCTTGGTAATCACAGGAACTTCACAAGCTCCTTTAACATTTGCAATTCAAAATACATATCAAGAGTAAAAAATTAAAACAAAAAGATAAAATGCTATTATGTTTTTAAACTAATCCTGTAGCTCATTCTCCTAGTCACACCCCCAACACACACTAGGTAAAATGGACTAGATGATTCTTAAGGCTTCTTTAAATTTAAAATGTAAGTTCCAAATATGTAAGGTGAAAGAACTACTGTTAAGTATACTTGCTGTAATTAATTTGCAATGTCTCACTGTTAGAAGACCATAGAATTTCAACATGGAAGGATACAAAAATAAAATAATAAATAATAAAATAATTAATATGGGGGGATCACATTAATCCCTTTGGGTCAAAGAGAAGACTACTGAACCATCTGTACATACCAAGCATCTCCCATTGGTATCTGATAAACACAGGATATGTCAACAGCCATGTGGTTTAACAATTTATTTAAAGAACTTGCACCTGCTTCCTAAGACTTCACCATATAAAGCACTGCCAAGGGAATCAACTTGGGCTCACAGAAGTAGCGAACAATATCTAATTTAAGGTAAGGTCATGTGATACTTGGGAAGGAGAACTGTAGGTTGTAAGTAGACCAAGACTGATACAGTATCAGAATAAGTGGACCACAAACTCCAGTGTGCAACGTACTAGCTCTCTGCTCACGAACACATCTTCCAAACTGACCTGCACATTGTTCTCCACTTTTGCAAAAGGACACCACGGTACCTGTGCTCTCAGTGGCATTACTACGATAACATCAGCTAATGGTGTCAAGGTGCTGGATAAAGGTCAGTGTAAACTGCCGTCCAACACTACCCAGGAACTTGGTTTATGTAGCTCCTGCTCTTATTCCCTTTAGGTATTGTAGTACTGGTTACGTCAGAATGCTGTCCCTTTACTTATGTGGGACGGTTAAGCTGGACTGTCCACCCGCCCAGAGGTTAGTAAAGCCCACTTCAGGGTGTCCTGGGTGGGTCATGGCCCTGGGTCTGATTCCAAGTCTGATTCCGGCCCTTTCCTCTCTGGCACTGCTCCCCCTGCTGTCTGCTGCCCAGCTGCTGTGCACTAAGCATCTTCGGTCCTACTCCACACTCCTCCACCGCGATGCTCCTGCCTTGGAGCCAGCCATGGACTGCAAACCCGGAAACCACGGGCCAAATGAAACCCTCCGCCTTTAAGTCGTGCTGCCAGGGCTTTGGCCCGGCAACAGAAAAGCTGACTAACACAGCACCACTGTGACTCTGCCGAGACTAGACTGTGGGATTGTGTCTTATTCAACTTGATTGTCCCCTAAAACCTAGCCAGAAGACACGATGAACTGAACTCTGTTTAATACAAAGGGATAAACTATGTAAATCCACATATAATAGCTCCCTTCATTTCAATCAATTTAATGTTTCTTTAAAATTTGAGAGCAGCAGCCTGAGCTACATGGCGAGATCTTGTCTCAGAAAAACAACAAAAAACAGAAAAAGACGTTTGAGGGCCATTTTCACAGTCCCGCACCGTAAGTAAGTAGTAATTTAAAAGCTAAGACCTGGCAGGCAATGGTGGCGCATGCCTATAATCCTAGCCCTCGGGGACACTAAGGCAGGAGGGTCTCAATTCTGAGTCCTCAGGGGCAATTTAGCAACTCAGTGCAACTGTGTCTCAGAAAAGGACTGGAGATGCAGGTCAGTGTGAAGCCCCTGAGCTCAACCGTCAGGGGAGGGGGGTAGAAAAGCGGCAGCCAAGGCTTTGAAGTTTATGCCCACTGGTCACACGAAGTTCACTTAAAATTACTATTATGACATAATAAAACAAAGAAATCTCACCTCTTTATGATCCTCTACAACTGTTAAAATAGTATCAATAGTATGTAAAATTCCCATAGCCATCACTGTCTTGTCTTCAACTTCTTCATACTCATCACTCTGAAGAACTTTGCCAAATATCTCCGCCTATGAAAATCACATTAAAATATTTAACGATTTGTGCTGTTACACCCCTCCCATTATAAAAGTTAGTAAAAGGACACATCATACATCTAAATGTCAGCATGGCTCAACATGAAGTTCTTTACTTTGCTGAATGAATGCTGTTCTTACAATCACAGAACCTGTCAGGTCTTACACATAGCCATTTTCCCTCTTCTAATCACCAGGGTGGGACATATACTACCAACAACCATTCCTAGTCTGGTTGTCACTAAGTAAAAATCAAAACCTAAGAAAACGAAAATCGACACTCAAAAGAAAAATGTAATAGAAGGTTTAGAAGTTAAAGTTAAAGGTCACCTAGAACATGAAACAGAAAAGACCCAAAAGGGGGTCGGTGTGTGGAAACTGGACACTCAGTCCAGCTCTGACATTCCACACTGGGAAATGTAGAATGAGGGCGAAAGTGTGGAGAAATACATGAGCGAGGTAACACAAAAATTATCCTAAACTAAAGAAAATGAGATTGCAAATTCAAAGTCCAGAAAGAGAAAATTTAGAAGGCTCATATCAAGGCACACCATTATAAAATCTCAGATGTTACAATGAAAAGAGATTATCCTCATGTTATTACATGTAAGTCTAATTATGTACAGGAATATCACAGTTAATAAAACAAACTTTTCTGGTGTGGTTTTTTTGAGACAGGGTCTCACTATGTAGTTTAGGCTGGCCTTGAACTTATGGCAATCCTCCTGCCTCTGCCTCCTGAGTGCTGGGATTACAAGCATGTGCCACCATGCCTGGCTAGAGCAAACGTTTTTACATTAATATGTCAGTTACAAGTAAAACAGAATCCCAAACTTTATATAGATTATTCAAGCCCTCTATACCAAACATAAAACTCTGCCCAGCCTTCAGCTTAGTAAGACTTTGTCTCTGTAAAGTTTTAAAAGGGCTGGGGTTTAGCTAAGTGAGAGATCCCTTATCTAACATGCAGAGACCTGGATTCAATCCCCCAAACTGTAACAAAATAAAACAATTTATGTCAGTCTTACCAAGTGTTGGGTCATGTCGACTGCAATTGACGCTACCTCCTGACTGTACTCACATATCATCTTCTGGATGACATTAGTAACATCATCATTCTCTGTCTCTCTGACAATGTGCAACAGCTCCTGCATAATAGGCCTGACGTGCGGCTTCATATATTCCTTAGCTAATGCAATAAAACAAAATTACTGAAGAGTACCTACATACAGACAGTGGAAGAGAATGACCTCAGGCACAAGGCCAAGTGACACAGTTTAATACCCACACAGAACGCTAGCTGCTGACTCGCTCTGTGGTAAATAAGTAATAGTGTAGCTCTAAATAATGCCCACCACTGTACGGGCTTTCCCCAAGAGTAACCAGGATAAGCAGTTCTGCGCATGAAAGGACTATTCTGCGGCAAAAGCCACAGCCCCACCGAGAAATTTTAATTATACTTGCGCTCTTTCATCAGTCTGATTCGGAGACACGAATATTATATCAAATATAAACAATCAGATACCTAAAGACCACGTCCAACACGGATGGAGCCTATTCCCTGCCCTAATCCACCTCTACCCATCCTTCTCCCAGCACACCCTTGTATACACCTTTATACAATATCCAGTCCTCCTGCCGCAAGGTTCATGTTCTTCATAAAGCTGGATTTATCTGCAAAGATTTATCTGATCTTTGAACAGAACATTCTCCTAAGCAAACAAATGAATCATCTAGTTATTATTCTCTAGAAATACTGCTACTTTCAGAACTGGAAGAAGCTGAGCAACCTAGAGCTGAAAGGCATCTTGAAGCCATCTAGTCAACCCCTCCTAAATTTAAATACAGCCCATGCACTGGACCTGACCTAACAGGGCAAAGCAGCAGAGGCAAAGGTGGACTCTGAGCTCTGGATTCTAGCCAGCCCTCGTGCACACTACTCACTAACTTGTTTCCTAATCTCAATTTTTTTTTTTTTCTGGAAGCCACAATCAATAGAAACTCCAAAAAAGGGCAAGAATAAACCCTTGTAAAATTCTAAGGAGATAAAAGCCCACCTTCCTCAGGGAAGGAAGTGAATGAGTTAAGAAGACCATCCCAAAATACAAAGAATCCACTTCCTAAGCGGTGTTTTGGTTTTACCTTGTATCTGGTTAGAAATTAATGACTGGAGGGCAAGGGCAGCTTCGACTTTGACAGGCATCTCCTTATCTTCAATCAGGCTCTTCTTTGCCAGTTCTACTGCTGTTCTTAGGTTGAGCTCATTATGAAACTTCAAAGAACTAAATGCATGAAGCACCCAGCAGGACTATGAGAAGAAAGCAAGTAGGGAGCTACTGGGATTATGGCGTTCTGTAATAATGTCACACGTGCAAGAACTTTAGAAATATATATTTACGTCAGTAATTACCTTAAGATGAAGGCTCTAAGATACATGACAAATACATGGAAAACTTACTCTAGCTCGAAGATATCCCAGGTTAGACAGTAACAGAGGAAACACATGATTCTGTAGAAATAACTCAATTTGGTCCTTGAATAAACTCTTCTGTCAGGAAAGAGAAATTTCAGCTTATCGATGAGTTTTTCACTTGTAAGAATCAGTTCCTAATAAAGATTTCCATTCAATATACTTCTATTTACAATTCTTTCAAGTTGTTTGACTTACATATTGCATGTTTTAAAACCACACAGAAGTAATACCTTAGATCAATTTGATATAATTGATTTTTGTAGAAATAAGAACACTAATATCATTTGAATCCTTTTTATACAGTACTAGTTCCATATTGAAAAACTGACAGACCAAAGACAAATTTACTTTTCAATTAAAGAAACAGGGGTAAGAAAGTCAATAAATTACCCAGAGGTAGTCTCTAGCTTTCAATTATCCATAACTGTCATACTCTTATTTGCCTGTGCTTCACAGTATTATTAAATAAATTAAATTCTGATAATCTTAACCTTCAATAAAATCTCCGCCAAGGAACCAATCACATGCAGGGCTCCATCCTTCTTCCTCGGGTCAAAGTTCGGGTCGGTGAGGATCTGGTAACAGAATGCCATCATTTTTGGCAACACCTAAAGAAATGGAAGAATCCATTTTCAAAAATAAAGCCATTTTACTGTGTTTTATCAGGCAACCACAAGCTCAATAAGAAAGGTACAATTTATTAAGAAAAAAAGCAATATTTGTATGTCAGCTTTTTCCTTTACTAGGAAAAAATTCTTAAAATAACAGGTTATAACTAATAACAACATGATTTTTCAAATGCTAGGAATACAGAATGTCAAATCAACACAGGTCACCTTTTAGTTTGCATTTAAAGAGTGCCTGCGTACCTCTTTCCTTTTCTTTGCAGCAGTATATAGAAGAGTCTGGGCTGCTGTAGTGGGAGAGGCATAATCTTCAAAAATATCTAAGATTGCAAAAAGTTAAACCATGTTAGTAAAAATACAATTACCATACAGACTTTAAACCTGACTGACCATCAGTCATACTAAGAAACAAATCAGTCCACACAAAGCTGGTTTACAGTAAAGAACAGCTGCACCATCTCAGCAGTGTGCTCATGCAGACAAACTGCACAGGTGTCATTTCAAACACCCATGAAAAAGGACTTCCAGAAGGGCTTCAGAAAGGGGCAAGAGTGATGGGATAAGCATGTTCAAAGTAAAGGGAAGTACCTCAAAGGGGGATTCATGATAATGTGTCTTTTGCTGTAATAGATTTGTTTTAATTTAAACACTCACTGTATATTTTGATAAGGCTGCAAGCTAATGACTATTTTTTGAATATTCCCTCTGTGCCAGGCACTATGATTTTACAGTATGATTTTATACTCTGACTTTAGTTCCTATGTATTAAACCATTTAATCCTCCCAATACCACTACCATTGCCTGTTTTATAGCTAACACCCTACATCTTGAGACAGAGGTTATATAACTTGCCTAGAGCTACTCAAGTAAATGGCCACGCCGGCACTCATATCCAGGCTAACTTAACATCAAAGCCTGAACTCCTGTCAGTTTTTACCAAATCTAAAAGCAGTACTATTGGGGGAAATGGTGAAATTAGTCAAAGGGTATAACAGAAACAAAGAATAAATAAAACAGTACTTTTAATATTGTTAGCAATATATAATATACATGTTGTCTTCATATACATAATTGCAAATGACAAAAATATTAAAATACAGTAGTTATTCTTTCCTATAATTACTCATAAGCAAAATATACACATCGAACAATGCCTACTATGTTCTAGACCACAGAAGGAAATGATTAAGGAAAACACACACCAGTCTTGATTTATTTATATTCTCTTTTAAACAACAAATAAAATGTAAATTCCCACTGTTAACAATGAGTTTTTAATTACTCCATTTTTTAAAAATTGAGAGCCGAGGGTCAGGGATATAGCTCAGCATCACAAGCACCTGCCTGGCAAGTGCAAGGTCCTGAGTTCAATTCCTGGTACCAAAAAAAAATTGAGAGCCAAGTGTGGTGTTGCACACCTGTAACCCCAGCACTTGGGAGGCTGAGGCAGCAAGATCACTGTGACTTCATGGAATATACAGTGAGTTCAGGACCAGTCTGAACTACATAGTGAAACCCCGTCTCAAAAAAACAAAATAAATAAATATAAAAACTGAGACACTACATTATCAGTTATGATAAGTAAAACAGTGGGCATTCCCTAAACAAACACACAGGTACTAGAAGATAACAGCAACACAATGCCTTAAAGAAACTAAAAACCTGGCTCATCACTCTGCTCTGTCAAAGCAAACTAGGAAAACAGGCCTAAAGAAAGGAAAATAATAAATTCTGCAATAAGAAATGATCTTCAAAAGAAACAGGTGGAAAGGAGAGGAAGCAGATAGTAAACGTTGTTACTCATTTGCCCTTCCTGCACTTCCTGTCCGCAGAGAAGTGGCTCCTCACTCACTGAATCAGTTTACACAAAGCACTGGGACAAGTCCCACAGCCTGGCATCCACGCCACCAGACTTAACTCAGGCAGCTGGAGGCATCGGGCTTCCTGTCACCTGCCTTGGGCTCACCTTAGTTCTAGTGTCAGAGATCATTTACTTCAACATTTTTTGAAGGCGTAGTGGGGAGGAACGTGAAGGAAAAAGAATACAAAATACAGTAAAGAAAGTAAAGTTCCTGCCCTCTGACAGTAACTCTAGGAGGGCCAGCGGTACACAAATTAACCTTTTTCTACGACTGAGGCTAAAAGGAGATGATTCAAACAGGCCGTGCAGTAGCTCACAGCTCTAGGAAGCTGCAAGCTAACAGGACCCCAGAGCACACTGCGTGGCCACCGAGAGAGATCGAACTCCCTCGTGGGACAGTTCCTCCACAGGATAAGGAGGAAACCTAATTGGGTGCTGCTAAAAGACATAGACATCCAAAGGGTCTCCAGAGTTGAGAGCAACACGGTCCCCCACAGGACTCCCACGCACGAGGAGGGCCATCCCCGCAGTCTGCACCTCAGTGAAGGAACCAGTGGCTCCCAGCAGAGAGAGGAGCAGGCGGCTTTTCCTCCCCACACCCAAGAGCCCCAAGTTCTTTGGTTCAAAAGGACATCAAACCCATGAGTTTCAAGAGTTTGGAACTTTGGGAATTTAGTGAGGTAATAAAACTACCTTAAAATTATCAATTTAGTTATATGACTTCACATATCCAGGAATGAACAAAGAAAACAAATCATCTCAATTACCAAATTTCATCCTTATGTATTCATATGGGTCTTCTTGCCACAGCTCTTCATCTTCGTCTTTATAGCACATCACAGAAAAAATCACGTCTTCAGAGATATTCTAAGATGAGAAACAAAACACAGGGGTAGAGGCCACTGGGACTTGGGGACTACCACTAATGTACTGACGGACAGCCCTCATGCTGTGTTTTCCAAACAGGTATTTTAATGTTTCTTTCAAGCCTGCGTGCACCAAAGTGACAGCAGGAAAGCAAGACCCCTGACACACAACAGGAAGAGGCACGGGGCTCATAAGGTTGTTTCTGAGCAGCAAGTAACTAAAAGCACAGAGAAAGAGACCAATGTAAACACCATCCTTTGAAGCAATAACAGGAATAATAAAGTTTTACTAACAAATCAACTTTTTTTTTTCTTTTTTGTCTTTTTGAGACAGGGTCTCACTATGCAGCTCAGGCTGGCCTTGAGCTCACTTTGTAGCCCAGGCTGGTCTTGAACTTGCAACAATCCTCCTGCCTCAGCCTCCCAAGTGCTGGGATTACAGGCGTGCGCCACCGCACCCGGCTAACAAATCAACTTTAAACAGACATTGATTTCCTTAAAGAAGAAAATGTCAAGTCAGATTCCTTATTTTTGAAACTTTTAACATTTCCATGTTGGTTATAAAAGCCAATATATGACCAATATTAAAATTTAATTTTTCTTTTTCCGTTTTCAAAAAGCCTATTTCTTACTCTACCACAGTGAGTTTCAGGGTAAAGTCCTAGCCAGCCCCTCTGCACACTGCTGCCAATGCCCACGGCTTACATAAAAACAGGAGTATCTTTCATCACTTACTCAAATCAAATAATTCTAAGGGAAAAAAGGGCCAACCTAAGGGTCATTTTCTTAGTCCTGCATCACACCCACATAAAAATAAGGCCAAAGGTATCAAGTAGAGAAGAAATGCTATCACTACTCACTTTTACTTTATAAGAATACAGGAAATAAAATGAACTCAGTATTTTATTAATTGCATAGAAGGTATTACTATCCAATCAAAGTGAGCACTCAAATAGTTACTAAGATGTCCATAAAAACATAATAAAGAGATACTGTTTCTGGGGTTGGGGATGTAGCTCAGTGGCACAAGTGCCTGCCTGGCAAACATAAGGTCCAGAGTTCGATTTCCAGTCCAAAAAAAAAGATACTATATCTGTAAGATCTTTTTTTTTTTTTTTTTTTTAAGATCTTTAATAAGGTAACATTAAACAAACTCTACCCAGGGCACCAGAGACAAAGGGAAAGAATTTATTTTCTTGTTACAAAGCATCTTACAGAATTTAAGGACTCATAGTTTGGATGGGAAGATTCAGATCCTAATGTCTCTATTTATTACTGGCCCATAATTTTCCTCTCATATTTCTTTAAATAACAATACTGAATTCTATCTTCTTTTTGTTTTTTTTTTTCTGTCTTTTTGAGATAGGGTCTCACTATGCAGTTCAGACTGGCCTTGAGCTCACTTTGTAGCCCAGGCTGATTTCGAACTCCCAACAATCCTCCTGCCTCAGCCTCCTGAGTGCTGGGATTACAGGCATGTGCCACCACGCCTGGCCCCGAATTCTATCTTTAAAGTAAATAATGGGTATAAAAAAAAACTTTTCATTTCTACTATAGAATTTATCATCTAAAAAAGATATAAAAACTTCTTTGCTCACACCTACAGAAGAAAATGGTCTTGTATCAGATATCATTTTCTGCAAAATAGCACCTTAGTGAGGCCCTGATAACAATTTTCAAAATTCTTTTGAAATTCTTCATTTAATCCTAGCAACCTTTTGGGAAGGGTGGAAAAATACTACATTAACAGAAAAGAAACAGGTTAAATGAGACATCAAACATGATCAATGGAATCCAAGTCTTCCCACTCACAGAATCACCTCAATACTTGAATTTCCAAGCTTTTTATATCAGATAGAAGACTGCTCCTTAGAAGTTACTAATGGAAATAAAACGATACTAAGCATAAAATACAGGATTGATAGCACGCGTACCTAGCAAACCTAATTTAACAACAGGCTAATTTGGGGAAGCTACGGTCTGACACTACCTGTATGTGTGGCTTCATCTGCTTCCAGGTCACAGAATGCACGACCCCTTGGTTGAGATAGTTGAATGCCTGCTGAAGAACACGGGGCGCTATGTATTCCTTCTGTCTATATTGATCTAAAATTTTTAGTAGCACCTGCAGGAAAACAGGAAGGAAAAACAGGAGCATAATGTAAGGTTAAAAGAGGTGGGGGACATGTCAAACATGACATAAAATCCAGAATACCAAGATAAAAATTAGCAGGTTTTGAGGACAGGCAGTATGTTGTGAGAAAGCTCACACAATCCTACTATTTCTCATATACATCCTTGTTGTACTGAACTGAGGGTATCTTACCACACTTCCAGGAAAAGGTCTAACTTCTACTTCTAGTTCTCCAAAATAAAGACTCTTGTTTTAAAAAGTAACAGAAGTGATTGAATAAACATTTAAAAACTTCCATATAGCAAAGGACAGAACAGATTTTATTACTCGATCCAAAAGATTCTTTCACGTTGGAGAGAAATGTTATTTAACAAATCAGTATTGGCACAACTGATTAGCCCTCAGAAAAAAAATTAAATTAGGTCCCTAACTAAACTTCATATCAAAATAAACTCCAGATGGAAAAATATTTCAACAACAGAATCACAGCGTTCTTAGAAGAAAATGTCAGAGAATTTTACGTTATAATCTCAGACCACAGAAGCTCTCTGTAAACGCTCCGGAAGTCCCCGAGGCTGACTACAGCAGCGGCGTACAAGGGAGGACCCCGCACGGGAGCAGGGCGTGGCCAGACGCCATGAGCGCGAGCCCGTGCGACAGCCCAGCCCGAGGGGTCCTGGTCTCCAGCACTGCACTCCCCTGGTGAGCTGCCTAATCTTTCAAACCACGTGCAGAGCTTATAAATGCAGAGTTCGAACTGCATTCGAGGAACATTTATCCAGGCCTTCAAGATCTGCCAGAAGCCCCACGATCACCTAGAAACTCCTTCTGCAGTGGACGCTAAGTGGATACTGACCGTGACTCTTCCTGGCTCAGCTGCGGCTCACACAAAGTGGGGAGCTAAGGTGAGACACAACAGCGGAGGAACGAACAGTTACTGACAGGAAAACTAATTTTAAAAACCGGGAACCTTCACCCTAAATAGCCAAGTACGAAGACATGATGACAAGGACACAAAGGCATGAGACTGGCTTTAAATATACGATACTAGCATAATCCTGCTGAACACACTTCAAGTGGACATCTACCTTAAATACTCAATGGAAGTTCACAACAGCGGGAAGAGCAGAAAGCAGGGCTCATCGGCTCCTTGGTTATGCGGATATCCACCGTGAACTGCTAAACAGATCACTTTATTCCCTGTTCACTAATTTCCCCTGATGATTTGTCTTACGGGCCAACAAAATAATTGTGAGAAAATTATAGCTAGTTCTCCTGAACTGTGGCATGGTACTTTTTAACATGTTCTACTGGCCAAAATGACGGTCCATAACTAGAAGCATTCCACCTAAGGTGACAGGCTGAATGCACCTAACTTCGTATCACTGACAATAAGGATGTATAAAAACCCAAGCACACTCCTCTAGTATTAAAGCCACTGTCCGTGTCTGGTCAATTAATCTGGTACAGCAGGTGGTTAATAGTTCAGTTTTGTTTAAATATAAACAAAAATACCATGATCCAAGTGCCACACACCTCTGTAGTTTTGGAAGTCTTTAAATATTATTATTAACTTGGTTTCTCAAGAACTCATTTCATTGTATACAGTGGTTCTCGAATTCTATACTTACGCTAATCTGTATGTTTCTTTGTTTTGGGGTTTTTTTGTTTTGTTCTGGTTTGGTTTTTTTGCAGAGTAGGAGATTGAACCCAGGGTCTCACACATGCTAGGCCAGAGCTCTATCACTGTGCTATACTGTCAGCCCTTTTCATTTTGAAATAGTGTTTCACTAGGTTGACAAGGCTGGGCTCAAACTTGTGATGCTCCTGCCTCAGCCTCCCAAGTAGCTGGATTACAGGAGTGTGCCACCACAAGCAATTTAAAATGCATAAATTCTCATTGAGAGTCTCAACATCTAAGCTCAGCTACTCTTAAAACAGATCATTCACGGTGTATAAATCTTTTAAGATAAGAGATAAAAGTATAGACGAAGAGGTGAGGCTCCTAGCTTGTTTGGAGAGTGAGACAGAAGGCCCACAGTTTGAGGCCAGCTTGGGCAACTCTGTGAGATCCTGTTACCAAAACAAAAAATATAGGGGCTGGGGATTTAGCTCAGCGGCAAAGCACCTGCCTGGCAAGCGCAAGGTCGTGAGTTTGGTTCCTGGTACCGGAGGAAAAAAAAAAAATATATACACACATACATACATGCATACATACACACATACATACATAAACGACTGCCTATTCAGCTTAGCAGCACAGCAAACACAACCCCTCGATTCTATCCTTAGTATTGCAGAAAAAGAGAGAAAGAAAGAAGAGGTAAAACTCAAAGAAAAAAAGTTTTAAAAAAACTTATAAGGTCAGAGAGTTAACAGAAGACCCCAATCTAATATAATACCCATTTTTGCAACTTAAAAGGCTTGGGCCAGACATGGTGGTGCAGGCCTGTAAACCCAGCACTTGGGAGGCTGACGCAGGAGGACTGCCGTGAGTTTGAGGCCAGCCTGGGCTACATAAGCGAGTTCAAGGCCAGCCTGCACTACATAGGGAGACCTGTCTCAATTCTCCCCCACAAAACAAAGGTCTGGATCCAGCCTAGCAGTCAGGATGGGCAGTTCTGGTGGCAGCCGCACCGTGACGTTTAAGACTAAAACTAATTGCACTGTATTAGTTCCCAGAGCTGCCATTTCATCCTCTGTAAATGTATAATGAACTAATGCGTTCATGATCCACTTTTAAAGACACAGAAGTGGTTTAACTACCTCCCAGAAATAATCATCCTTCTCTTCCAAAAGCAAACGTCTATTACCTGCTGAATTCCCACTGCATAGGTTTTCAAAAAGAATTCAGAAAATTCGAAGTATTCTTTTGTGACATTTCCTGGGCTTCCATACCTTAAAATTCAAAGATAAAATGTTTAAAATGTGAAATTTTAAAACAAAGTATGCTTATTTGTTTAAATAAATCATTAAAAGACATATTCTATTAGGGCAGAAAACTAACATTTTACGCTTTTTCAAAGCCACAAAATGAAATCATGGGGAGCTATACTTATGGTTATGCACTTCTGTACTTAGGACCTAACTAAGCTTACACATTTCACACAGAAGCATTTGCCTTCTAACCCAAGAGGCCTAAAGGACCAAATTAAGAATGAAAATGCTCTATCTGCCATGGAACAGATTTCTTTCAATAAATGCTTTTAAAATTAAATTTTCTTAAGGAGCTAGTGGCCTTGCACCTTCTTGCATAATTTCTGGATATTTCTAATGGCCTGAATAATGTTATTCGGAAAAGACAGAAAGCTTCCCACCTCATCATCATCTCAAAATCAGTGATCACAAGCAAGTCATTTTAAATAGAACGACTCTTTGCCCTCTGTGGGAAAACAATCATATGCCTGCAGTGTGACAAAGGAAGTATTCAATTTCATCATCTACAGTCCTGAGCTACTGACTGCAATGTAATAAATGTAACGGAGAATTACCGCTCAAAAAGACGAGCTACAATATGCAGCGCCCACTTCTTACACTTCCACCATACCAGTTCTGGTCTATCATCCTCGTCAATCTGCAGCGTCTCCTAAAAGAATGAAAAGCACCAGATTAAATTTCTATACAAAAGCGATTTATATGAATAAGAAAAATAGAATAAATCTCAGTATAGACTAAGTCCTATTAAATGTGAAGTTAGATTGCTACACAAATGCTGATTCTCACTTCACAGATGCTAGGTAGCCAATTTCAGCTATTGCTGTTCATATTTATCTATCTTCAAAAGGATCAAATACGTAGAAAACAAAATACAAGCACCATGGTCCCTTGATTAAATTCTTTGAGATGATGAAACAATTCTAACCCAAATGTTATCAAAATTCACTTAACCATTTACCAAATTTTGCGTGTTTATGTGCATACATTAAACATCTATAAATACTTTGTTTCAAGAATATCCACAGTGGGGTTGGGGTATAGCTCTGTAGTACAGTGTGAGCTTAGCCCTTGGTTCAATCCCTAGTTTCCAAAAGCAGAAAAAAAACATATATATATACCTTCTAAGATTGGCTTAAATTTTAAAATATGAAGTACAAATGAAAAACACAGTGAATGTTTAAATTTAAGATGTGTAAAACACACATCACCATTAATCTCCCACACCCTCCTCTTTTAGACATACTCATTCAATCATTCTTGCCACTTTCTGAAATAATTTGTAAGTTCCCTCAGGGATGTCCTTTAGTTGTGCTGTCTTGACGTCCGGAATTGATTCGAAACATTTACCTTTCATGGTCATTTTGACTTTGGGGAACAGCAACAAGTTGCATGGTGCCAGATCCAGGGAGTGAGGTGGGTGAGGACACGCTAGCGTTTGTACAACCCTGCCTTCTGCTGGACGGCCCTCAACAGCAGCATTCTCCGTATTTACCACACCGCAGACAGACACAAATGTGGACTTCTGGAAGTGCTTCAGGAAGTGGCAAGAATGATGGGACAAATGTATTCAAAGCCAGTGGGGAGCTCTGAGGAAAATGAATGGCAAAGTGTCTTTTACCTAATATTTTCATTTAAGCAGTCACTGTATTCTTCAATCCCCCTTGTGTATGAGTTAATTTAATAAAGGAAAACCACTATCATTGTTATTGCAGATCAAAATGAGAAACTATCTTTTACCTACCAAACAGGCAAACCTAGAATTACGTGTGTACTTATGACAAAGCATCCTCCATCCCTGCTCATTATAGTTACAGACATTTTCCCAAAGAAAATACTGTAATCATGTTTGTGCATAAAAATTTACATACATCCTTAGAGTTAAAACCCTAAAAAATTTAAAACAACCTAAACATCCAGCAAATGAAGCATCTTCTAAAAATGACAATGTATACAAAATATTTAAATGTTTATATTAAATCTTAGATGAAAAAAATGAACTTTAAGATACCTCTAATGTACTGTATCTATATGTACTGTCTTTATAAATATTGTGTTATAAATGCAGAGAAAAAAGTCTAGAAGTGAGTATTGAGTTTTTAAATTATTTTTTCCATTTAACAGGAATAGAGTCGTTATTTTTTACTTTTGCTTATCTGAGCTTACTAAAAATGAGTAGTACAGTACTGTAATTATTTTATCAATTAATTCTGTTAAAGTTAGAACTCATGGGTCACTGCCTGACTGGTGGTATAATGCTTGCCAACCATGCGTGAGGCTGTTAGGAAAGGCCCCAAACCCAAGCGCCCGGTCCTGCTGGGGAGCAGAGCCCTGCCTTACAGGGGGCACCCTCCGGTCGATGATGGTTCGGAAGATCTCCATCCACGTCGTCATGGTTTGGTTATTCACCAGCTGAAGAGGTAATGCGTACTGTAAAACAGAACAACAGCATAAACAATCTTCCTCCTTTCCATGAGAGGATAGTTATTCTATATATTTAACATTCTAGTATAGATAAAATCACTGATTAAATATAGTTAAATATATAGAGTTAAGTTAAACATATAGAATAACTAACATTTGAGCATGAAAATAATAATTTGATTGTTTAACTTAAATCCATAAACATATACTTTTTTTTCCTTTTTTTTTTTGGTTTTTTTCTGGTACTGGGAATTGAACTCATGACCTTGCGCTTGCCAGGCAGGCGCTGTGCCATTGAGCTAAATCCCTAGCACCCATAAGCATACACATTTTAACTTTTAAAACTTTTATACATGTGCTATGATTTGTTTCTTTGGGCTACTTTTTTAAATGAAAAATATTTTTAAATAAATTCTTCTTTATTCTGCATGAGATTGCAGTAATTTACTCCTCTGTATCGAACTGTTCATTTTAACTACTTTGATGAAAACCCTCACTTGCTTAAACACTCACGAGACACCTCTCAGCTCCTTTCCTCCGCCCTGTGGCATCCTAAACACAACGCACTCCGCACTGCGCAGACGGCACCTCCCGGGCTGCAGGCCAGCGAGCAACCAGAGGAGCCAGGGGCCCCACACCCACTCACTCCACCCACGCCTGCTGCATGTCGAGACCTAACAGTGAATAAATCGGACACAGTCGGTGCCCTTAGGAGGCTTATACCCTAGCTGGAAGAAAAACCACACAGAGGCACAAAGGCAGGGATGGTAAAGGATGAAGGTGGAGGGCCGCGGGTTAGGGTTAAGAAGTACACAGTCTACTCTAAGTGCCCTGCAAGGGGCATCTGAACTTGAGACATGGTTAGAGAAGGAGCAGGCCGAGGGTCAGGCAGAAAGCAGAGATTTCTGAGATAAGTATCAAATATCCAGAGCCATGTACAGATAGATGCTACATAAATAGAATCATTCTCCCTTTCTAGACTTAAAAAGAGTTCCTCCATATCTTCCTATGTCACTGCATGGTTTGCTGACACTGTCACTGTAACTCGGTCTCTTAGAGCCTTTTACACTATTTTTGCAGAGGATTAGTGAATAACAGATCACCAAAATAGTTTAGTATGTTGGAGGGTTTTCACTGGTTTCTGTAGGTTTTTAGTATATAACAGGTTGAGAGAAAAGTTTTAGATTTCAGCTTGTTAGCAGACCAAGTAATAGAAGAGGCTTTAGAAAATTTACTTCTCCAGCCTTTGCCCTACTCCCAAAAGGAAAGGCAAGTCTGGCCCCGAATAAGTGGAACATTTCTGCACTTCATGGCAGAACAAGCCAATGAATAAAAGCTTTGCCTCAGAGTACAGCGATCCTCCTGAGCACGACTTCTAAACCTCACTTTGATAAAGGAACAACACATCTTCCTTATTTTTTTAAAAGATGGAGCAATATATTTTCCTAGTATTCTACTTTCTTCTCAATTTGCCTCCTTCCCTCTTCCTTCTCCTTCCCTCAAAAAGACTGACCTGAAAAAATTATGGCTCAGATTATCTCTATTAAAAGTTTAAAAGGTGAAAAAGATGAGACTTTAGTAACACTATACACTTGTACTGACGTGAAATCTTGAAACAGTGCCAAGGTACCTAAGTGAAGCCAAAGAACAGATTTAAGTGATCTCAACTTTCCAGCTGAACAAAACTATCCTTTTGGCAAAAGGAATTTAAATAGAAAATATGAGAGCTCTGATTTACTCAGTATCAAGTGGTTTAGGCTGACGGCCAGTGACTCCTCCTCCACCGAGACCTAAGGAATTCACCACGGCCTTTGAGGGTTCAATGCCAAACACTGCTGTTGTTTTCAGACACACCACTTCCTTCTAAGCACTGTTTCAGTTCCCATTTTAGTGGCCTTCGCAGTTTACAGGTATGATAAAAGGGGGTGTTTCAATCCAGGAGAGTAAGACACTAAACCTTCTCTGTTAGCTTTAGGTTGGATGGAAGGCACAGAAGCTATTATCAATATGATTTCCCAATAAAAGCAAGACACCCCTTCTTCTTTTTCTCCTACAGTGTGTGTCATCATGCCAGTTGATTTGTGTAAACACAGAGTGTACTTTCATAAATCAAAATTAGCTATAATGTCACTACTTATCTAGCCTGAAGACAAGGATGCTCTGAACAGGTACATCAGACACAGGTTTTAAGGCAAGTAACATCCTGGTTCATGTTTACCCAAGACTTCAGACACCGAGGGGACAGCACAAACACTGAATCTCTCCTCTGCCATCCAAAGACTGGGAACAATTAATTGCTGTGAATACTCATAAAGGTTTTTTAAAGAAATATCTGTGAAAGATATAATCATTTTTAATAATCACTGGTAAGTAATGAGCACTTTTAATGTGTCAAGTAGAAATACGAGGCTCATCTGCCTCGGGAATAGAACCTCACCTGAACGAGTGCGTAAAAGATCTTCAGGATTTGCTTCTGTAGTAACACAGAGTAATGGGAGGCATCGGGAAGGAGCTGCATGATCTGCTGCTGGACACACGGCAGAAATATCTGCATTGCTGCAATCAGAGGCTCTCTTTCTTCTGCTTTCTTATACCTACATGAGAAAGACAAAAAGGAGAATAATTTCTCCCCTGTTCCCCAAAGACCTACAAATAATGACTGAGAAGTATTTTTTAATTACACAGAAACCAATAAGCAAATAACAGCAACAACAAAGCCAGGCACTGGCTTACAGTCTCTGTCTGGAACGCTGAAAGTTGAAAGGAGTGTAAGCGCACATCTCCTTGTGTTAGGCAAGCTACCTAAAAGCTTTCTAGAAAGAATAGTTTAAAAGAAGCCAGGACCATTCTATAGATTTCTTATGTAAATTTATCTAGGATTTAAATTAATTTTCATCAAACCACAATTTTTCTATAAAATATAAGCTGACGTGCTAGGTTTTTGGTTTTTGGCTTTTTTGAGACACAGTCTCACTATGGCCTTGAACTCACTATGTAGCCCAGGCTGGCTTCAAACTCATAGCAATCCTCCTGCCTCAACCTCCCAAGTGCTAGGATTACAGGCATACACCACCACACCTGGCTCTGATGTGCTAGTTTAAATGCACATTCATGTTACGTAGCAGATAATGTGGGGAGAGTTTTCTTATATTACTCTATGTTGAGAAGTTAACACAGCTTATAAAGTTAAGTGCTCTTCCATCACTTTAATTGCTATACATCTAAAATGTTCCCTAAAAACTCTACAAATAGAATATGAACTAAATAATTCAATAAAGAAAAACTGTAAGATTTTATATGCAAGGCAGCAATCTTCTTAAGAAACCAAAAAGTATAATTAAATGTGATACTAGTCCTCTACCTCCCAAACTCTTATGGAAAAGAACATCACTAACAAAAATCTAACACTTTCTATCTTGTATCCAGAAAAGCACCTGATTTATTTACTTCAAATCAAATGTTTAGATATGTCTGTATCACAGCTTCCAGAGTAAGCTGTTAGTAAATTATGCTCTGAAACTAACAAATTTGAGAAGCACTGCACAGTATCATGTCTTGGCAATCAGCAAAGTGCACTAGAAAATTCAAACTTCTTTGAATAATTGCAGTCAAATGGTCTGGGGGTGTAGCTCAGTGACAGACCACTTGCCTTACACACACAAGACCCTGAGTTCAATCCCCTATAACACACGCATGTGCACAAATGCTCACACACATAAAATACAAAAAGAAATAAACACTGTAAGTAAATATGTTTAATTGTGTTTAATGCCACCTTTCCCAAGCTAACCTGGTTCTGCAGAACCCCCACAAAGGACCCCTCTACACAACTTACTACCAAAGGCACTTACTCGTAAGTCTTCACCAGTTGATACAGACATAATAAACTGCCGAGCCAGCTTCCACTGTTCTGTGATTGCAAGTAATAGTCTATCTTGTCCACCACTGCTGGCCAGTGACCAGGAAAATCATGTTTAATGATGACACGAAGACACATTGTTAACTGGACTCTATGAGGTAAGGGGAAAAGGTCAAAACTTACATAGTTACAAGTATCATGTACCAAAGACCTCTAATACTTTACATAAAGTACTCTTACCTTCTATTTGCTCATATTATACAGCTATAGTCACGTATCACTTGACAATCCGGATAATGTTCTTTGAAATGTGTTATGCAGCTAAGTTGCATTAACAGTGCAGAGTATACTTTCCTAAAACAGGATGGCTACCTTCACACCAGGTGACTGAGGGACCACTATTGTTGACCAAAACATTACTGTGCAGCTCTTGGCTGTATCTACATGGGATGGGAGGGAAAAAATAGTCTAATATTAAAAAAAAAAACCTCCTCAATGGCCCCATTTATTGAAAATAAACAGAAAGGAGGATATCTTAAAATGAATGAAACCTCTCAAACTGTCTTATCCTAACGGCCACTTTTTTAAAAATAAATAAAAATAAGTACATAAAAATTTCAAGACAATGAAGCTACTTCAGCTCTGTAAAATTTCTCATCTTGTTATAGTTTGCATTTTGGTAATCATGTCCTAAAGGAGGGAAGGCCAAAGTGTGTATCATTTCAAGCAAACCTTGCATAGCGATGGCAGGAGTGCAGGACACAGAGGCCCACACACGGTGGGACTCTCCTCCACACACCACCGGGACCACCACCTGCCAGAGCAGCCTGAGACACTAACTTTTGTCCTCTGAGCATAAAAAGAAGTATGTGTCTCCTCTGAAGAGGAAAACGAAGAGCTATTTTCAAAAAGATAAATGAGAAAAGCAACAGGAAAGGTATGAGCAGAAAAAGAGAATATACCTTTACTGAAGTGAAGAGGTGAAAGAAGTTATCTCACAACACTTGTAACAGAAATCATTTTCTCAAATGGGATCTCAACTATATTTGAGATTAAAAAGAAATAAGGAAAAGCGTCCCTTTTACAAACCACAATCAGTATACTAAATACGTCTCACAGGGTCATTTGCAAATGGTAAGAAAATTAACCTGGCAAAAAGGATTCTACAGAGCAAAAGGAAAACAAAAGTATTCAGTTGAGTAGCCAATAACTTGGATTCACAGAAACTGATAAAATTAAACAACATAATGGTTTTTTCTTATGTTGTAATATGTATCTCAAAATTTTCTTTCCAATGCTTTTATTTTTTTGCTTTTGTTTTGTTTTTGTTTTTGTTTTTTCGTACCAGGGATCAAATTCAGGACCTTGTGCTTGCCAGAGAGGCGCTTATGCCCCTGAGCTATATCCCTGGCCTCCACTGCTTTTAAACAAAATTGAATAATGAGAAGAAAAATCTATCTCCAAGAACAAATACAATTAAGTCTAAGGACACAGAAGCAAAGCCACAAAGAGCTGTGTTACATGCCAGGTGTGGTGGTGCGTGCCTGCAATCCCAGCACTTGGGAGGCTGAGGCAGGAGGACCATTGCAAGTTTGAAGCCAGCCAGGGCTACAAAGTGAGCTCAAAGCCAGCCTGAACTGCATAGAGACCCTGTCTCAAAAAGATAAAAATAACCGTGTTACATAACAAAGATAAAGATTCCCTTCTATGCCATAGCAAACTGTCCTTTAAATGAGCAAGTCATGTATCTATGCAGTACAATGTGTGGGGCGACTCTGGTCAAAGAAGTGATTGAAGTGAATGGGAAAAGGAAGGGACCTTGGTCCCTGGAATGCATGGTTAAGTTTAGAGCAGAACTGCAAGGCTACAGTCAGAAGAATCAACAATAAATATTCTGAGATGTCTGGTTGGCCAGTGTGTCCCCTCTGCCTGGTAAGACTGCTTAAACTAGGTTGACATGTGTACCTGTATCCCATTCCTTCCCTGGGCCCCGAACAAAATTCCTACACAAATGTTGCAAGTGCTTTTCTTCTATATCTTTGTTCTGGTGTCCTTTAGTTATAAATAAATAACCACAGATGCCTCAGCTCGCTGCTGTTTTATGAGGCTTTCTCACACAGAGAAGCCGCCCCTCTGGGTTTCTCAGGGACTGGACTAAGTCTCACCTTTGATTATAGCAATACCTCAGTTGTCAAACAGCTCCGAGCTTGAACTTTCCAATACACACACAGCAAAGTTCAAAAAACATCCACTCCGTGTTTGTAACTTTGCTTGACAGTTGAACCGAAAATCTGACTCGAAGCAGCCTGTATGAGCCAAGGGTGAGTCTCACACTGTCTCACTGTGTCTCACACTGTGTCTCACTGCAGACACCAAGGTCTCAGCGCTGCCCTCTCCCCAACAACGCAGGCTGCCTGTGTTAGTGCATTCAAATATTTGTCACTGTGCTTCTCGTGTGTGCTTTATTTGCAGGAAACATCGTAACCATGGCTTTGAAGAAAGTTAGTGAAGCCAGCAGTAAAGCTAAGAGGAACTGTGAGAGCCACCACAGAGTTAAAGAAAGAAATCATTGTGAAATCTGTTAAAGTCCTGGAAAAATGAACTTGTAAGTGTGATTTTGGGGCCTCAGAACCAATTATTTGGTTTTCCATTATTTCTTATGGGGAAAATACATTCAGTTCTTACGAATTGGAACGAATCAAGTTCGACAAGTGAGGTATCAGTGTAATCTTCATCCTCTGAGCAGCCCCAAATGGGACACAAACTCATGGATGAAGCAAAGACACAGTAAAGCAGCACAGGGATGCACAAAACTGCAGGGTAAGACCGGCAGCTACACATCTGCATAGAGGACCAGACTCCCACAGCCTGAAAAGGGACCAGGACGTCCGACTCTTCATGTCGGTCTCAGTAAGGGAGACACAGGCTCCACAGAATAGCATGGAACGTCTTGGCAAAGCTGCAGCCTAAGACTCTGCAACCTAGAGGTTATCACTGTCCAACTGCTTACTGAGCGGAGGCAGTGTTTCTTCACACACTCTGCTTTCATCCTCTCACTTGTGTTACTATCCTGGAATCGCCTAGAGATCTCCTCGTGTCCAATTACTAGGCAAGTGAGGACAGTTTGTTTCTCATTCTGCTCATTTACTTTCGTTTCTCCTGCTTTGCCTATGACATGGGCCAAACTTTACCTAAAAAGAAACTACACAAGCAACATTTACAATGTCTCTTGAAAACATCTGACTGCAAAAAAAAAGGGAAAAAGAAAAAAAAAAGAAGAAAAAGAAAAAAGACAAAAAAATGCTAAAGGCAACAAAAGTCAAGACAGTAAAATACGCACACTGGGACAGATTCATCAGAGAAATGGAAATCCCCATTAGTACTTTTACAAAAGCTCAAGGATGCCATGGCCGATTACAACACCCATATATACTCATTTGAGCTCAACAATTTTTCCCTTTTTTAGCTGGAGATTTCCATGGAAAACTGTTTATATAAGATTTCAGTAGAACTTATCTCAAATGCTTGATATCAAGAAAATTAGTTCTATAAATGTACTGTCTATTGTCTGTATGCAATAATTTAAAGTTTTTATGCCAGGCAGGGTGGTGCATGCCTGTAATCCCAGCACTCAGGAGCTGAGGCAGGAGGATCACTGTGAGTTCAAGACCAGCCTGGGCTACATAGTGAGTTCAAGGCCAGCCTAAACTGCAGAGACTCTGTCTCAAAAAAAAAAGTTTTCTCATTGGTATTCAACAGGTAAACATAAAAGTGGGAGCAAATATCCTATATCAGAAGAAAAGCTCTTATGGGTTAAAAATAAAAACCACAGTTTCTCAACTCCAGCATGGGTATCAGCATCACTCTTGCAAGAGTATAAATGCCAGGCGTGGTAGCCCATGCCTACGATCCCAGATCTTGACAGGGGGCGGGGGCTGAGGCTGGAGGTTCGCAGTAAGTCTGAGGCTAGCTTGGGCTGCATAAGCAAGTTCAAGGCCAGCCTGTACTACATAGTGAGATCTTGTCTCAAAAAAAAAGTATAAATCACAGTGTGGCTTTTGCTGCCTATAGAGTACAATTTGAATCTAAACAAGTAAATCATTTCTTTTGCAATCTGGGGCTCACCTGGGAAGTTCTGCGCCTGTGTGTAACGGGTCTTGGGGGAGAGGGAGACATATCCCACCCCATTTAGGGTGTCCTGCCCTGCAAGGATTTTACGTCTCTGTACAGAAGCCATAGAACACCTGAGACTACCGTTCTAAGGATAGCAAACCCAATGCAGGGAAGAGACAAAATGGACATTTGTGGTGACCAAATAACCTTACACATGAGCCAAAATTAAAAAGTTAAGACTAGCTGGGCATGGTGGCACACACCTGTAATCCCAGCACTTGGGAGAGTAAGGGAGGAGGATCGCCTTGAATTCGAGGCCAGCCCTGGGCTACACAGCAACACCTCGTTTCAAAAAACCTAAAAAAAAATTAATTAAGACTATAAATACTACCTCTTTAATGTATAGGAAAGCTGATCTCTGAGTACACACTGAGGGGATCAAGAAAAACTCAGGCACAGGGACTAACCAAAAAAAAAAAACCTAAAAAGATAGGTAACAAAGATAGGAAACAAAGATAGGTAAAGGAAATTCCTCCTGGAACACTGCCTCAGATGGTCTGCTGGACATAAACACATTCCCTAAATTTACAGGAGCCCACTGTTGCAAATCTTGGCTAATTGATGAATTTAGTTTTGGCTTTCAACTTAGGTTGGTATTTTGTTTGATACGCTTAAAACATTTCCTAGACTTTGTAACTTCTCAGACTACAACTGCGGGGTTCATTTGTTCCTCTACAGCTTCTACAAAGGGCCCAAGGCTACCTGAAAAGTTGTTGGCAGCCAAATTTGTGTATCTTGCATTAACCATTTCTCTAGTAAGCACTGATTGATATAGGTGGACTTCATGTTGGTCTACCAATCTCTCTGTTATTCACCTTGCTTATAATCTAACGGGGGGGGGGGTGTCCCATAATTTGATGTCATTAAAGTCCAATTCTACCTTGAACTATGTTTTGTCTTTTAGTTACTATGGCAGCCCTCCTTCAGGGAATCCTGGTCTTGCTACATCCTTATTACACTTCTCTTCGGGCACTTATTTTTCCCATCAAGAAATCCCTCTGGTGCCTAACTATTCCCTTCTTCCTTCACATTATAAGAAATGATAATTATCAACACATAGATAAGCTCACTCGGATTGCTCATGACATTTCTGACCACGTCACATTCTGTATTTCCCACCCATATATTCTAGTCCAACAGAGGTGAACCGAGGGCACATGTGCTACAGTGGGCTGTTTGTATCATCGAACGCTCTGAACAGTTCACCATCACTGCTCTAGCCCTTACTAATCAGGACTCTAAGATTACTGAATATAATTCTGCTGTCATTATAGACGCTTTAAGGCAGTTAATATCTCTTTGCCCGCCAATGCCACCTGGTTGGTCCCTTGTGTCACAAATCATAGTATCTCTCAACTCAGTGTGACACACGTTATGATACTCAGGCAGCAAGCTGCAGCGTGGCTCCCCACCAGTCTCACTTGGCAGTGGATGGGAATTCTGCTCTTCAGCAAATCACCTCAGCACCTGAACATACCAGGTAAACGCGCTTTTTATGCATTTTGATGACAAGTGGTACCGTAGCTACTGCTTTGGCCGCTACTGTGGCAAGCGCACTGGTCACTTTGACTGACTCACTCCGAACTGCTCAAACTATGAATGGCTATCTCCATGATGGTACCTCATAATCACTGACTCAAACTAATATTGAGAAAGAAATTCTACAAAGACTTAACACCTTTGAGGCTGCTGTCAACTGGCTCGGGGAACACCAACGGGCCCTGTGAACACAGTCAGCTTGGTTGTGATGCTTGGTCTCACTCGTGTGTGTTACTCCTATTCCTCTTTATCATTCTGAATCTTGAGAGCAAGTCCACCACTTTCTCCGTGGTGCCTTTCACACAAATCTGGATGGAGATATTTCTCATCTCCAGGGCCAACTTGAAGCCCAATCTCAAATATTTCAAATGGTGCCTTCTAACATTACTTTGGAACCTAAACACTGGTTCTCTGGTATCAACCTTCACATTTAGATTCTTATAGAATATTCTTATAGAATTAGTAGAATAAGCTTTTTCTCTGCTCTTTCTTGCAGCCCTAAAAGCACTCTGCCTGCTGTTGCAGTGGACAAAACATGTAGAAGCCATGACAACCTTCCTGCATGAAGACCAATATCCCTCTACCTGTACTCTTCCCTGTGTGTTCAATCTAAATTATAAAACAAAAAAGAAGGAATTGTGGGGAGACTCTGGCCAATGGTGTGATTACATGAATGAGAAAAGGAAGGGACCGGGGCTGGGGATTTAGCTCAGCGGCACAGCGCCTGCCTGGCAAGTGCAAGGTCGTGAGTTCAATTCCCGGTACAGGAAAAAAAAAAAAAAGAAAAGGAAGGGACCTTGGGAACAACAGTTTCCAGACTCCTGGAATGCATGGTTAAGTTTAGAGCAGATCTGCAAGACAACAGTCAGCAGAATCAACAATAGTTATTCTCAGAGATGTTTGCTTCGGCCATTGTGTCCCCTCTGCCCAGTAAGACTGCTTAAACTAGGTTGTCATATGTACCTATCCCATTCCTTCCCTGTGCCCTGACCAAAACTCTTCCACAAATACTGCAAGTGCTTTTCTTCTACATCTTTGTTCTCATGAATTTGAGTTATAAATAAACAACCGCAGAGGTCTCAGCTCGCTGCTGTTTCCTGAGGCTTTCTCACACAGAGAAGCCGCCTCTCTCGGTTTCTCGGTGATTGAAGTAAGTCTCATCTCTGAGTAATCTTTCATCTTCTGTGTCACCATGATCACACACTGCAACAAAAACTGAAGCTTTTCTTTTTTAAAAAATTTCATCTTCAGCCCTTTCTGATTCCAAGTCGAACAAAAAAATGGCCTTTCATGTATCACTATGTAGAATCATTGGAAGATCCAAGGAGATCAGAAAATGTAAGCATTTTGACAAGAAATAGACACACGACGTTATCACAGGGGCATCAGGGCCATCAATGCATTTTCAATCAATGAGAACAATGATGATTTTTTTAGCTATCAGAATAACTGCTCAGTGTCTGTGGTTCTGTTACCATTCCCCTCAAACTTCTTTCTTCGTCTACATCATAACATTGGAGACACTCATGCTGAAAGTTATAACTAATATCTTGATAATATTAGCAGTATCATTAAGATAATATTCCATTTTCAGAAGAAACTTACTAGTTCACGTTTTGAACAGTGTTTGCTCCTCCTGTCTTAAGACTGCAAGATTTGGAGCTGAGAGTGTGGCTCAGCGGTAGAGCACTTGCCTAGCATGTGAAAGACCATGGGTTCAATCCCTGGTACCACACACAAAAAAAACCTTCTCAAGGTAGGACTGCAAAATTGATATGACTCTAGAGCTATGTTACCCAACAAAGCAGCCACCTCTAGCTCCATGTGCATACCTCAAATGAATCAAAATTAGGTGGAATTAAAAATGCGGTTCCTCTGACTAGTTCCATGTCAAGTGTTGAAAAGTCACCTATGCCACACGGCGGCTCTACAGCATCTAATCTCATCCATGAATCTGAAAAACTGGTGTCAGTTATTCTAGTTCACAGATACTCTACCCTAGCTCCTTCAAAGAAAAGGATATTTATTCAGTTCCTAAACAGTGAATAAAGGGTTGGGGATTTAGCTCAGTGGCAAAGCGCCTGCCTGGCAAGCGCAAGGTCGTGAGTTCGGTTCCCGGTACCGGAGAAAAAGCAAAAAACAAAAAACAAACAAAAAAAAAGTGAATAAAAATATAAAGGATTAAGAAAAGCAGTAGGTGACAATTCCCAGAACCAATCTCTATTTATCAAAGTAGAGAAAGGCAGATAGTGAAAAATTTAAGGGATTGTGACTAAGAATTCAGGCTATTCACTTAGTAGGGATTTACACAATCCTTTTGATTAAGTGATTTACCTTACTTCTTTTTGTTTTGTTTTGTTTTTGGTTTTTCTCCGGTACCGGGAACCGTACTCACGACCTTGCGCTTGCCAGGCAGGCGCTTTTGCCACTGAGCTAAATCCCCAGCCCCCTTACTTCTTTTTGTAGCAACTTATGGCAACTAAATCTTTCCCACAATATTTTGAGGCAATTAAAAATGCAAAGATAAGTAAGTAAAAGAAAATTCTTTGAGTGTCCATCTTCATTATTCTATCTCTTTAAAAAACAAACTTGAGGCTGATGATCAGATGCAACAGAGCCCATCCCAACCCCAAATATTTCATGCTTCCTGGTAACACATAGAGAGCATAACATACCTCACCAAATCAGGAGCCCGAATTATCCCTTCCACAATGTTATCGCGGATCTGCTGGCGGTCATTTTCATGAATGTTGAATGGAAAGACTGCTTCTCCCGGTGGAGGTTCTCGATCTGGCCAGTACTGGGTCACCATGTTCTTCAGGTAGATAGCAGCTACATTTGAGGAAAAAGTCCTAATGCATTAGCACCAGAAGGATGGCATCAGTTCAGCTTTACAGAGCACGAATGGCTAAGTCCTTGAGAGTTAACCACGACACCCAGCAGGCATGGAAAACCTCAGAGGTATCAGTTCCAAGAGGAAAAGTGGAAATGGACAAGAATTTAAAGGTTTCCCTTTAGCTAGTCTCTGCAGAAACGTTTTGCCAAATCAACGCTCAAGGCCTCAACAACAGAAACATGACCTAGGTGTCATGTGCATACCTGTAGACTAAACACAAGGTGTTCTAAGTCAGACCAGATGAAGTTCACATTGAGATCATAAAACCACACTTCTCACAGTGCTGAGCTAACGACAGGTGCAGCTCTATTTCTGTCCCTGTAGATTTTATGGTTATTTATTTTCTTGTACTGGCTACCATCCTGCACTACCATTTTGCAGTATCTATGGTTTTTATAGCATTGATAATTTTTATGCACTTCTTTTGAGATATTTATTCAAATATAATTAGTAGGAAAATGGCTATCAATCTTCAAATAATTTTTGGAAAATCTCAGGAAATTTTTATCTCTTTGTTTCTAACAAAATCCATAATTCATATTTTTTTTCCTATCCCTCTGGGGTTTTTTGAGACAGGGTCTCTGTAGTCCAGCCTGGCCTTGAGCTCACCATGATCCTCCTGCCTCAGCCTCCCAAGTGCTGGGTTATAGGTGTGCGCCACCACACCCAGCTCCTATTCTTTTTTAACCACTTTCAACTTTTTACATAAAGCTTTTGAAAAAAATAAGCTGAAGAAACTGCTGCAAGATTTTAAGAGAAAATGTGAAATTTTCCCAACTATACCAGTTGAACACTGAATATAATTTAATAAAATTATTCTCATACACATGTGAATAAAAAGATATGACCCATAAAACATCATAATTTTGAGATTCCCCTCTCCCCCACTACTTTTTACCCGCCTCTTTTTTTGAGAAAGGGTTTCACTATGCAATTCAGGCTGGCCTCAAACTTGCAGCAATCCTCCTGCCTCCACCTCCTGAGTGCTGGGATTACAGGAGTGTGCTACCATGCCCAGCCAACCCCACCTTTACACAAAATTAAATGGATTAGTGAAAGTTTACCCAGGGCTGGGGTGTAGCTCAGTGGTAGAGTTTTCCTAGCATGCATAAGGCCCTGGGTTTGATCCCCAGTACCCCAAGTGAGGAAAAAAAAATTACACAATAGAGTATAAACCAGTATGTTCTGCTTTGGCTAAAACATAATAAAAATTTAATGCGATTATAAATTTGACATCCTATAAACTCTTTTTTTTATTAGTTTTGACTCACGAAAGACCTCTGAAAAGACTTATATTTGGGTAAAAACCAGTAACAGTAACCATAGTATTAAACATTGTGGCTGGGCATGGTGGTGCATGCCTGTAATCCCAGCACTTGGGAGGCTGAGGCAGGAGGGTCGCGGCAAGTTTGAGGTCAGCCTGGTCTACACAGTAAGTTCTTCAAGGTCAGCCTGCACTACAAAACAAGACCCTGTCTCAAAAATCATCATCATCATCATCATCACCTTTGTGTTACAGGATTTCTTTTTTAATTTAGATCAGGTTCTACATTAAGAACCATCTTTTATCTCAATACAATTATTATATTCTATAACTGAAACAGGCAGAGTCCATATTCAATAAAAATGTGTAGACAGTTCAAAAAAGTGAATAAATGATCTAAGGATATGATCCAACCTGCCAACAGTTCATACTGATTTCATGGGAGTAATTTTTGTAAAAAGTAAAATCAACTATATTACACACAAAATCATTACAGTCCTCATAGGACTAGTCTTAAAAATAAAAGCAACCTTTAGACAACAGAGATATAGACATAGTAAAATTATGAACTTATTTATAATTAAATGCTGTTAATTTTATAACTAAAAATTGATTTTATTATGGGTCACCATGCAAGATAGCTTGTTTAAAAAAAGGCAGTCTTATTTGCATATGGTTAGATAAATATATGAGTTAAAATTGATTTTAACAATTTGAGAATATTAGTTAACTCTTACAGATAATTATGGATTACTAAAGATAATGAAGGAAAAATACCAAAAATAATAGTAACCATATTAATAATCTAAAAACCCCTCTTGAATAATTTAATTCAAGTTATAAATTTAATTTGTGTGTGTGTGTGTGTCTTTTTGAGACAGGGTCTTGCTATGCAGTTCAGGTTGGCCTTGAGCTCACTTTGTAGCCCAGACTGGTCTTGAACTCGCAACATCCTCCTGCCTCAGCCTCCCAAGTGCTGGGGTTATAGGCATGCACCACCATGGCTGGTCTCAATTTAATTTTTTTAAAGCTGAAAAACAAAATATTAATATAACCCAATTCATAAAGGAAGTATTAAACTTCATTTTTCCTACAAAATTCACTCATCATTCTATGTATCTTTGAAAGTAACTTTTAAAATTTATTTTTATTTCATACTTGTACATTTTTACAGAATACATTATAGTAATTCAATGCACACAATTCACGTAATACAACACATGAGTAGAGTGTGTAAGAATCAAATCAGGGTAATAGGGGCTGGGCATATAGCTCAGTGGCATAAGCACCTGCCTGGCAAGTGAAAGGTTGTAAGTTCGATCCCCAGTACCACCAAAAAAAAAAAAAAAAATCAGGGTAATAAGCATTTCCAGCTCTATAAACATTACCCATTTTTCTGTGTTAGGACTTTTATCCTCTTCTAATCATCTTCAAACATATCACAGATTGACCTTGTATTTTAAGACAAGGTCTCGGACATAGTCCTGGCTGGCCTCAAACTCTCAAGCTCTCTGCTTCAGTCTCCCAAGGGCGGCAACTACGGGCGTGCACCACCATGCCTGACCTATCGCAGGATGTGTCCACCTACATGCACCTACTGTGCTAAAGAAGAGCCAGAAGCAACATCTGCACCCTGGGTTCCGGTCCCTTACTGAACCTCCATCCCGCCCCTGCCCTTCAAGTCTCCCGTGACCACTGCTGCAGTCTGTTCTCCTGTGAGACAGGCGTATTAGTTTCCACGAAGGGGAACACCAGCATTTGTCTTTCTGTGTTTACTAATTTCACTTAACACGACCTCCAGTTCCTTCCACGTTGCTACAAAGACAGGATTTCATTCTTTTTTCGGTGGAACAGTATTCCACTGTGTGTACGTGCCACGTTTTCCTTATTCATTCACCTATGGAAGGCACCTGGGTGGGCTCTGTATTTTAGCTATTATAAACAGTGCTGCAATAAAGATGGGAGTGCAAGCATCTTTCTGGAACAATTTCATCTCCTTTGGAAACACACCCAGCAGCAGCCTTGTTGGATTGCCTGGTAGTTCTATCTTTAGCTTTTTGAGGAATTTCCACACTTTCCATAGTAGCGTTACTAATTTACATTCCCACCAACTTTGTAAAAGAGTTCCTTTTTCTCCATATCCTCATCAGTATTTGTTTTTGTTTTCTCTTGTGGTGATAGGGATTGAATCTAAAGCCTCAAATATGCTAGGCAAATGCCCCCCCCCCCACTGTACTACAGCCCCAGTCCATTTCTGTCTTCCTGTTTGCTTATGATTTGGGGTTTGTTCTGTTTGTTTGTTTGGGTTTTAGCTTTTTTGAAACAGGGTCTTGCTACATAGTTCAAGTTGGCTTTGAACTTACTAGGTAGCCCAAGCTTGCCTTAAAATAGCAGTGATCCTCCTGCCTCAGCCTCCTAATTGAAGGGCCATTTTTGTTTTTTTGATAATAGCTATTTTGAGGTGAAATGATGTCTCATTATGGTTCTGGTTTGCATGAAATGGACTTTCTAAAACGCACACAAGCCTCGCTCCTTCCCAAGCACAAATAATCATCACTTAAACTCTATTCTCTAGACCCAGAAGCACAACTACAGAAGTAGAGTGGGTTTTACAACCTCAAAAGGTTGAGAAGGTGCTGTTGTAACCCTGATGAAGCGGAATGCCATGCTTTTAAGTAGCCTTTCTAAACCTTCCATTTTCTATCATAATTTGGTCACCTTTCCCTTGTGGTTGCTACAATCTACTAAGACTAGGAAACAAATGTGTAAACTATAACTGAAATAAAAATGAAAACATTCTGAGGAACAGCTGAGACACTTCCTACACGTGAAACAGTTTTAATAAAAGAGCTGCTTTAGCTGCCTCTGAACTGATCAGCATCAGCTCTCTATTTGTTTCTGGTTACTGCATTACTGAAGTTCATCTTAACCTCTGCTCACATACCTGTAGGCTAAATTTTTTATAACCTCCTCATCCGTACTTTGGACATTCAAAAAGTAAAAACCCAAAAGAACAAAACCCAAGCAGGTTACAGAAATGGAAATTATGCCTTTTTTTCCCTTCATTCCCAGGCCTTTTTAAAATTTATTTTTATTTTGAGACAGGGTCCCATTAAGTTACTAAGCTGCTCGGGCCAGCCTTGACCTTGAGATCCTCCTGTCTTAGCCTCACACAGTGCAGGGATTCCAGGTATGCACCACCGTGTCCAGCTCCATGCTGCTTTTCAAATGATGGTCCCACAGCAGTCACCACTGATGACTTCCTCAGGACTAACACAGTGCCCTTGACCCCCAGTGTCAAATCCAAAGCTACACCTCGTCCCACTGTAACTGCAAAGTGCGCAACAGAAAGTTATTTCTGGACTTTTTTTAAACACATATTAGGGAAATTTCACTAAAGGGCCTCTTCATATGTAAGGAAAACAACTTGGAAGCAAAAGTGACTTGAGAGAGTCCTGACCACATCTCTTGTACCTCTTCTCATCTGAAGTGGGCTTCCTCTCTGCATACTACATGATATTAACGTTGTGAAGTGTAACAATACTGTGAAAAAGAAAAGAGAGCAAGCCCACAAATTTATTTTCTTTGGCTTGGCAATATCAAAATGTTAAACTTTTTTCTCTCTCTTAAAAATCCAAAATGAGGTAAAAGCAAACATGCACTACGAGCTTG